AGACGCGAGCCCTACACCCTGCACAACACCCTCAGCCCCAATCCCTAAACCCTTAGAGAACCGGGGGGGGGGGGGGACCAGGACTCCGTTCCATAACCACTACGCCCTGAACCCACGCCATCACTTTTCTGGCGCCTCAGAGGTCAAGCACCGAAGCCCATCTCGCTCCACGACCGGGCCTTGAGGGGTTCGCGTGGTTCAGGGTTGCGCTCGAAACCTCTAACCCCAAACCCTAAACCTCAAATCCTAAACCCCAAGCAATCAGCCCTAAGGCCGAAACCCGAAACCCGAAACCCAAAACCCTAAACCTAGACCCTAAACCCTAAACTACAACTCCGAGACTTGCTTCTCAGCCCTGAGCAACGCCTGGACCCGAATGGTCGCAAGGCCCCTTTACATCACCATGTAATTATAACCTACACCCTAAACCCTCAACAGCTAAGGAGTAATTCGAGACACTAGAGGTTCGGCGTTTTTGAGTTTCTTGGGGTTGAGGGCTCTCGGACTTAGGGCTTAGAACGGTTTTAGGGTTTAGAGTTTGGGGTTTTTGTTGAGGCTCTAATGTAGGGGTCGGAATAATTACGAATAATTTTCCCTTACGGTCCCTTTTTGAATATTCTATAATAAGCCCCAAAACCCTGTTCTAATTATTAAGGTTTCTGCAGTAGCGTGAAAAGGACAGCAAGTGTCCCTTCACCTCAAGGAAGATTCAGATCGAGTCATAGGTCTTAGGAGTTATTTTGCTTGGTGGTCTCTTTAAGCAGGGTTTCTTTGTTGTAGGGGTTCTTATTACGGTATCTAGGGGCTCTATTGCGGAATAAGGGGAACAGATCAAGAGGCCACCGGCCATTAAGCCTTTGGGGGCCGGAAAGGTGCGGCCTAAACGCTGAAGCTTCAGCATGAAATCCCCTGCAGAAGGGTTTAACGCTTAGGGTTTTTAGTTTGGGCTTTGGGTGTTTTTAGCTGGGTTTTGCTGGGTTTTGGGGTTTTTTGGGGTTTTTTGGGGGCTAAGGGCTGTGGGCGCCAGGTGGATCAAAGGAATGCCTGAAGCGCTGAGGTCGGCTGGTCTGAGCCAAAGAGCTTTGACAGGACCGGGATTAGGTTGAGGGTTGAGGGCTGAGGGCTGAGGGTTGAGGGTTGAGGGTTGAGGGTTGAGGATTTGGGGTTGAGGGTTGAGGGTTGAGGATTTGGGGTTTGGGTTTTGAGGTTTCGGGTATCGATCATTGGGGGGTTTAGGGTTTAGGCCCCGATCCCCAAAGTCAATGCTAAACAGCCGCAAAAACCGCGAAACGACCTTAAACCCTTTGGACCCTGAACCTTTCAACCAGCTCTTGGGGTATACCTCTCTGAGCCTTTTCAGACGGAGTTCCAGAGCCGAACTCGAAGCACTTTATCAAGGATGCAGGGTTCCGGGTTTAGGAGGTTTTGGAACAAGTTAAGGAATTCCAGACTTCACGTTTCAGACCTTCGGCAGAAACTCACTCCCCCGGAAGTGGGTCCAAACCCTAAACCTTTCGGGGTCTAGGGGTCTCGGGCCATCCTAAGCTTCTTGAGCCCTAGAAGAACCCGGCCCTGAAGACAATCCCTAGACCTCTCACGCTAGCATTCTGGACCCGAGGCCCCAAAGACCATCACTAAGCACTTAGCACCTATAAACCCCGAAACCCCGAAACCCCTAAACCCTAAAACCCCTAAACCCTAAAACCCCTAACCCCTAAACCCTAGACCCTAAACCCTAAACCCTAAACCCTAAACCCTAAACCCTAAACCCTAAACCCCACATCCACTTGCCGGCTAGGAACCAGCGCGCCGACGCCGGAGCTGCGGCCGCCGCCTCGTGCCGGCGCCACTCTCAAGTGGGGGTCGTGGTTTAGGGTTTATAGGGGATTTAGGGTTAGGGTTTAGGGGTTACAGGGTTTACACGGTTTAGGGTTTAAAGAGCTTTAGGTTTTGGGCTTATAATATATTTGTGTGGGTTAGGGTGCGGGGTTTTGGGTTTATAGTTTGGCGTTTTGGGGTTCAGAGGTTTAGGGTCAGGTGTAGGGTTTGTGGGGTGATAGGGTCCACAACGTTTACAGGTCTTATAGGGCTTATGGGGGTGAATAGACACGCTCTTGGAATCGAATCCCAACAAAGCCTTCGAGGATTAGAGTTTCGAGTTCAAGCTTCAGGGCGCAGAGTTTAGGGTTTGGGGTTCAGGTTCTTTGGGTTTTGGGGTTTAGGGTTCATAGGGTTCTAGAGGCTCCGAATGCTTTTCAATGAGTCCCTTGGGATCGGGCCTCTGCGGCTCTCACCAAGGTCCTCCTCCCGCGGCCTTCGCGCCTCCCAAGAGGGCCCTGCAGTCTTTGGGCGCAGGCCTTTCGGTCCGTGTTTGGGTGCTGGGGTCTGCGTCTTCGGTTTAGGGTTTTGGGGTTTTAGGGTTTTAAGTTTGTTGGGGTTTTTGTAGGGCTTTAGGGTCTTAAGGTTTCTAGGGTGTTTTAGGGGTTTAAGGGCTTTTAGGGTTTTTAGGGTTTTAGGGTTTGGGGTGCTCTCTCTCTCTCTCTCTCGCAATCTCTCTCTCTCTCTCTCTGTCTCTCTCTCTCTCTCTCTCTCGCTCTCCCTCTCTCCCTCTGTCTCCGTGTGTTGGTTTGGGGTTTGGCGTCTGGGGTTCAAACAGACCAAAGCTGGTCCGATCCCAAGCAGTGAAGCAACCGATGCTGTTAACTGCTGACGACGATGAGGTTCATCTTAAACCCTAAACCCGAAACCCTGAACCCTAAACCCTAAACGAGATAGCTCAGTAAGGAACAGTTTTCACTGATGACTACTTTGGGGTACAGGCTAGCCCTAATCCTGGGCGAGCTAAACCTTGGGCCTCAGAGCCGATGCGCATCCTGAGCACACCGTTTTTTTGTTTTTTTTTTTTTTTTTTCTGGTTTCTTCTGGAGGATGCCATACAACTGCGAAAGAGTTTGATAAGAGCCCATGTTTTCTCTCAGAACGCCAGGAGCCCCAGACCGCCCTGGGGTAAGGGCATTTAGGGCCTGGGCTCAGGGTTCATAATTTAGAACCCTAAACCCTAAATCCTAAACCCTAAACCCTAAATCCTAAACCCTAAACCCTAAACCCTAAACCCTAAAAGGGTTCAGGGGTTTCTCAGAGGTCATTTAGGGTTTTCAGGCGGCTCGCGGTGTGGGGTTCAGGATTTAGGGTCTACAGTAGCAGGCCTTGTTGGGATCTGATACGTGGGGGCGTATAACCTCCCTTTTGTTCTCTTGCCTTCCTTCGGGGTTGGGATGTAATTTAAGCGTAAGTCAGAAGGAAGTCAGGCGTCTAAGGTGGGGATTTTGCCGAGGCATTGAGGGCGCAGGGTCTAGGGTTTGAGAGGTCTTTGGGCTTCAGGCCCGGTCATCTCAAATAAACACCCGATACCCCTCAACCCCACGCAATCCCGAGCCCGTGAGGAGATGCATCTCCGATGACCCTAAGATGAAGCCTTCGTAAACCCCTTGGAACCCTAAACCCTGATTACCCCGAGTTCCTTCATAAACCCCTTTGAACCCCCCCAAAACCCTAAAACCCCAAACCCTAAACCACAGACCTGAAACCCTAAATCCTAAACCCGAAAGTCCAGGGACACCTCCTGAGACAGCCACCGAGGTCCCAGGGCCGAAAGCGGTTCAGGGTTTCGGGTTTGGGGCTTAGGGTTTGGGGTTTAGGGGCTTAGGGGTTTAGGGGCTTAGGGTTGAGGGGTGTCAGGATGTAGGGGCTCTGGGCCCAGAGTAGCCTCTTTCTTGCTGCTTTTGGCCTTCGAGCGGGGAGGGGTTGGAGGTTTCCTGAACCTGAAGCCCGAAAAGCTTCTGAAACCCTCTAAACCCTATAATCCCTGTAAGCCCCACAACCCGATGAACCTGTACAGTAGACGGTAGAGTGGATCGAGTTTCTGCAGTTTGTATATATGTGTGTACATATATATATATATATATGTATAGAGTCGCGCATTCAGTACCGATTTGACCAGGTCCGTGCGCAATGCGCGAATAAAGAAAATCCTTCGACATTACGGCGAAGCTTTCTACGAAAGACTTGCTTTTGTTTTAGCAGTTTGTTTTGTTTGAACAGTTGTTGGTGTATGTGTTTTCTTTTTTTCTTGGGGGGGGGGGGAATAGGTGTTATGGAAATTCCCGAGCTCTTGAAGTCTGAGCCAGTTGATTCCGTAGCAGCTGCAACCATCAAGACACATGTACCTAACTCACTAACACCACTAACGTTTCATTCAATTTGGGAGATGGAATGCTGGGTCCCATGCCTATCCTGCCAAGGCTGACGGCACCACACTTGTCAGGGAATCCCAAGAAGCAAAACATCAGAGGAGATGAGTGGAGGAGCTCACGGGCATGAGGGGACCCTGAGAGGCACATGCCTGGAGTGTAGAGGCTTTGCTGGAACCACAAGCCAGGTCCAAGTCGATGATGCCACATCAGTTGCAGATGCTTGGCGGCCCTGTTGTGCCCCCTTTTCCTCCTTGATCGTCCTGGGTTCCACTTGCAATGCAACCAACCCCAATTCCAAAAAGGGCACCCTTAAAGTATGAAATATGGTCCCTGGCCTACCGAGGATGTATCCCGGACCATTGCCTCCAGAATCTCCGTGGCACCGGGAAGCTTGCTTGTGTTGCTTTCTGGCAGCACTGTGCTGGTCGGGTCAAGGCCTATATTGGAACAAGTTGACAGCAAGGAGGTCGAATATTGTGTTCGGGAAGTCGGCGCCGGCCAAGCAGCCATGATCCTTTTGTGCATGCTGGATGATGATGGCATGCCGCATCTATGCGAAGAAGATTTACGTTTGACCCATGTCATGCTGACACTGACCTTCGGCTCTCAATTCAACCAGAGCTTGGACAACGTGACGCTGCCCAGCAGCTTGCAGACACTGACCTTCGGCTCTCAATTCAACCAGAGCTTGGACAACGTGACGCTGCCCAGCAGCTTGCAGACACTGACCTTCGGCGATAAATTTGACCAGAGCCTGGACAATGTGACGCTGCCCAGCAGCTTGCAGACACTGACCTTCGGCTTTCAATTCAACCAGAGCTTGGACAATGTGACGCTGCCCAGCAGCTTGCAGACACTGACCTTCGGCTCTCAATTCAACCAGAGCTTGGACAATGTGACGCTGCCCAGCAGCCTGCAGACACTGACCTTCGGCTTTCAATTCAACCAGAGCTTGGACAATGTGACGCTGCCCAGCAGCTTGCAGACACTGACCTTCGGCTTTCAATTCAACCAGAGCTTGGACAATGTGACGCTGCCCAGCAGCTTGCAGACACTGACCTTCGGCTCTGGATTCAACCAGAGCTTGGACAATGTGACGCTGCCCGGCAGCCTGCAGACACTGACCTTCGGCTCTCAATTCAACCAGAGCTTGGACAATGTGACGCTGCCCAGCAGCTTGCAGACACTGACCTTCGGCTCTAGATTCAACCAGAGCTTGGACAATGTGACGCTGCCCAGCAGCCTGCAGACACTGACCTTCGGCGATCAATTCAACCAGAGCTTGGACAATGTGACGCTGCCCAGCAGCTTGCAGACACTGACCTTCGGCGTTTTTTTCAACCAGAGCTTGGACAATGTGACGCTGCCCGGCAGCCTGCAGACACTGACCTTCGGCGATAAATTTGACCAGAGCTTGGACAATGTGACGCTGCCCAGCAGCTTGCAGACACTGACCTTCGGCTTTCAATTCAACCAGAGCTTGGACAATGTGACGCTGCCCAGCATCTTGCAGACACTGACCTTCGGCTTTCAATTCAACCAGAGCTTGGACAATGTGACGCTGCCCAGCAGCTTGCAGACACTGACCTTCCGCGTTCAATTCAACGGCTCTGTATTCAACCAGAGCTTGGACAATGTGACGCTGCCCAGCAGCTTGCAGACACTGACCTTCGGCTCTGGATTCAACCAGAGCTTGGACAATGTGACGCTGCCCGGCAGCTTGCAGACACTGACCTTCGGCGATGGATGTAACCAGAGCTTGGACAATGTGACGCTGCCCAGCAGCTTGCAGACACTGACCTTCGGCTTTCAATTCAACCAGAGCTTGGACAATGTGACGCTGCCCGGCAGCCTGCAGACGCTGACCTTCGGCTTTCAATTCAACCAGGGCTTGGACAATGTGACGCTGCCCAGCAGCTTGCAGACACTGACCTTCGGCGTTTTTTTCAACCAGAGCTTGGACAATGTGACGCTGCCCAGCAGCTTGCAGACACTGACCTTCGGCTCTAGATTCAACCAGAGCTTGGACAATGTGACTCTGCCCGGCAGGTTGCAGACACTGACCTTCGGCCCTGACTTCCACCAGAGCTTGGACAATGTGACGCTGCCCAGCAGCTTGCAGACACTGACCTTTGGCTATAACTTCAACCAGAGCTTGGACAATGTGACGCTGCCCAGCAGCTTGCAGACACTGACCTTCGGCTCTGGATTCAACCAGAGCTTGGACAATGTGACGCTGCCCAGCAGCTTGCAGACACTGACCTTCGGCTCTGGATTCAACCAGAGCTTGGACAATGTGACGCTGCCCAGCAGCTTGCAGGCACTGACCTTCGGCTCTGGATTCAACCAGAGCTTGGACAATGTGACGCTGCCAAGCAGTTTGCTGATGTTCGCATGCAGATCTCTGAGTGCGGGTGTCCTACAGTAAGACGCTGCTGTTCCGGATTTTTGACTGTTAGAGTTGACGGCTTCAGCGTTCCCTGAACCATGGGTTCAACCCGATACGCCTGAATATGCCGTAGTTGTTGAAGGTTTGGCGCTCTTTGGGTTGAGGATGCCAGAAAATGCCCTGGCGCAGGGTTTTTGCCCAGACGTGTTTTTTTCCCTGCACCTTGTGCAACCACAAGTGTTGCATTCACACTTCGCGACGTTCTGAAAGTGTCAAGCAGATCAACTATCAAGGTGTTGAAGTTTGGCGCTCTGGGGATTCAGGATGGGGGGGGGGGGGGGGTTGATGGAAACCCTAAACCCTAAACCCTAAACCCTAAACCCTAAACCCTAAACCCTAAACCCTAAACCCTAAACCCTAGACCATGTCCAGGCTGTGGGGGTTCTTGTGGGTTTTGGGTTGTTAGGGGTGTAGGGTTTAGGGTTCAGGGGTTAGGGGATGATAGTCACAGGGGTACCCCTAAACCATATCAAAAGTGGGGCCATTCGATTTCTTCCGAAGTACTAAAGCCAAAATCAGCTTTGGAGAAGGGCTGGAAGATCACAACATGAGCCCCATAAACCGGTGCAATAAGCCATTGAACCCCCCACAATTCAAGCCGATGCTGTCAAATCCTCGGGCTCAGAGGGTGTCTAAGTTGGAAGCCAGGGGTTCCAGCCCCACCCTGTGCCCAAATGCAGCCATACCGTCCAACAGCCCTCGAACCCAAACCGCAGTTGTACCAAGACCCCAACTCCCCCGCCCAACCCTGAAGCCAAAAAGACCTAAACCTTAAACCCTAAACCCTAAAGCCTAAACCCTAAAACCTAAACCCTAAACCTAAACCCTAAACCCTTCATAGACCCTGAGCCCACTGCAGCTCCACAGCTTGCGCGAGGCTGCCGCCAGCGCGGCGCCCACCGCGTCCCCAGGCGTCACGGCCGTCGGCGACAGCACGGGGTCCCGGCCGGTTTAGGGTTTTGGGTACCCTAAGCCCTAAACCCTAAACCCTAAACCCTAAACCCTAAACCCTAAACCCTAAACCCTAAACCCTAAGCCCTAAACCCTAAGCCCTAAGCCCTAGTTTTGAGAGCTGACCTGATCGGACTCAAAGCCTAGGGCTTGCGGATTTCGCAGACGTGGGCTTCCTCAAGGCTTCGGGCTTCGGAGATTAGGGTTTAGGGCTTCTATCCCAAACCCTAAGCCCTAAACCCTAAACCCTAAACCCTTGAACCCTAGAAACCCCAAACCCAACCCCCTGGCCCTGTAAGCCCATATGGGTGAGTGCATGTTGGGTTTAGGATTCAGATCATGACGGGGTTCACGCCTTTCGGGGCTCTGCACGCCTGAAACCTGAACACCCCGAACACCCGCAAGAGCCTAAACCCTAAACCCTAAACCCTAAACCCCAACACCCTAACACCCTAACACCCTAACACCCTAACACCCTAACACCCTAACACCCTAACACCCTAACACCCTAACACCCTAACACCCTAACACCCTAACACCCTAACACCCCAGCACCCTAACACCCTAACACCCTAACACCCTAAACTCCCAAAACCTATTCGGGGTTTCAGGGTTTCAGGGTTTAGGGTTTTAGAAACAGGTGCCAAGGTGAGCTGAAACCCTCCCAACCTTGAACCCTGCCTAATTCCCTCCACCCCTAAGCCTGAACCCCTAAGCCTGAACCCTAAACCCTGTAAAGTTCACTTTGCCACCGCCAGGCCATCAGTTGCTCCAGGTCTACCGCAACATCTTTGAGGAAAGAGGGCGACCAGAGTTCGAGGGTCGTTTCTGAAGCTGTATAAGTAAGGTCGTTTTTTGGGAGGCCTGTATGTATTCATGCGCAGGCAATCTTCGTTCAATCGGCATACAATCGAGGTATGGCCAGCAACGTGGAGTCCATGGGTGTGGTTCGAGATTCACTCACTTTCAATTTGCTTCCTTCAGTGGGCCTCGGAACCTTCTTTAGGGTTTAGTAGGGTTTAGTAGGGTTTAGCAGGGCTTAGTAGGGTTTAGTTGAGTTTATAGGGTAGGGTTGAGTAGGGTTTAGCAGGGCTTAGGGGGCTTAGGGTCGAGGAAGTCATTCTGCGGGACGGCGAGTACGGTGCCACACTGCGGAAGGCGCGCCAACGACCCCAACATCTAAACCCTAAACCCTAAACCCTAAACCCTAAACCCTAAACCCTAAACCCTAAACCCTAAACCCTAAACCCTAAACCCTAAACCCTAAACCCTAAACCCTAAATCCCACCCCAGGCCCTGATCCCTGAACCGCCACTCCTACACACCAAAGGCCCTAGACTTCATGAAGGCATCTACACCCGACACCCTCGGAAGTTACAGTAAGCTGCCAAAAGTTGGAACATGGCTATCCTCAGACCCCAAGAGGGTTACTAAGGGAATCCGCACGAATCGTCCTTAAGCCATGCTCCAACTTCCTGGAGTTTACTGTAAAGTACTTCGGAGCTTAGTTGCGAGGTCCAACTATAGCCAGGAGTTGCCGAAGGAGCCCCAAAAAGTCAAAGTAATCCTTACAAGGTATAAGTACAAGTCGAATGATTTTCTAAGGGTTCCTCAAGCTACTAGCTGAGGTTTGGCGAAAGACCCCCCGGAGCCATAGAAGGCCACCGAAGTCCGAACTTGCTAAGCCACGAAGCCAAGGAAACCCACAAAAAGCCCCCACGAAACCACCCAGCCCTAAACCCTGAACCCAAATTTAAGGGTTTGGGAGTAGCCCTAAGGGGTTTGGGTCCAGGTGAAAGGCGTCTACGAGTCCTACTTCCTGGAGGCCGGCAGGGCACCACACAGGGCTGAGGGTTTGGGGTTTAGGGTTTAGGGTTTAGGGTTTAGGGTTTAGGGTTTAGGGTTTAGGCTCGGGCTTGAGGGTTTACGGTGTAGGGTCGATGGGATCCGGTTTCATAGAGTTTAGGCGAAAGGGTTTTACAGGTCGGTCAGATAGACTGGGGCGGGGCAAGATTCAAGAAGCGCGATCGCAGCAAGCCAAGCGCGAAACTTAAGAAAATCCAAGCGACACGTCCTGCGACATTTTCTTTTGGAACATTCGGCAGGACATGTAGCTAACTTGTTTCCGATTCAGCCAGTTCAACGGACACATGCGCGAAAGCTAAGAATCCTGTGTCAGGCATCTTTAACATAAAACTAGCTTCACATTGCCCTACACCCTGTAAGCTTTGAAAAGATCTAAAGAGTTTCAATTGCAGAATGCTGCGAACCTTTCTAGGGTCCCAACAGTGCTTTGTGAATTTCAGGTTGCACACATTCCTATTCACTTCAACATGGACTCCTGATTGACATGTCCCGGCAGGCAATTCGCCCCAAAAAGCTATGATGCCTCAATCTCAAGCCTTGCTCAAAGCCCTTAGCCGACAGGGCTTGAGCTGTCGAAAACCCAATTTCTAAACCTAAAGCCTAAACCCTACTGTAAACCCTAAACCCTAAACCCTAAACCCTAAACCCTAAACCCTAAACCCTAAACCCTAAACCCTAAACCCTAAACCCTAAACCCTAAACCCTAAACCCTAAACCCTAAACCCTAAACCCTAAACCCTAGACACCTTGGTTCCAGGTTCAGCGAGAGAATGCTCGACTGCGGGACCGGGATTTGGTGGAGATCCCAGGGCTCTTGAACCCTCAACCCCCCCTGCCTTAAATCGAACCCTCAGCCCCATAAACCCTATAAACCCTATAAACCCTATAAACCCTATAAACCCGATCACCCGCAAAAAAACCCTATAAACCCTATACAGCCTATAAACTCTATAAACTCTATAAGCCCCATAAACCCTACAAGCCCTATAAGCCCTAAACCAACAAAACCCATGTTCTTACGAAAAGGAACCTGTTTAGAGTCATCCCCGACCTTTTTAGCTGATCAAGGCTCGAGTCCTTTCATAATTGGCATCCGGGGGCGGGGGGGGGGGGGGGGGTTTGGGATTTTGGGTTTAGGGTTTAGGATTTTGGGTTTAGGGTTGAGGGTTTAGGGCTAAGATTCAAGCAGCAATTTGCTCAGAACCCGCCCCAACGACCCCACACAGGAGAATGAATGCCCTGAGCTCAACCTCTTAGAAGCCCCTGTAGCAGGCCACACGGGCTCAGAGAAATTGGCAGGTGGTGAGATTGCTTGGGTGTGTATATTCCTTCAGGCTGACACTACCCCCCCGTTGTATCCGAACCCGTTTAAGAAAGGGAGTATCCCTAAACCCTAAACCCAAAACCCTAAACCCCTAAAAGGTTAGGGCAGAAGCTTCTAGGTAGGGTTGAGATTCTCAGGCTTCTGTCCAGCCTTGCTCAGGGGGTTTAAAGGGTTCAGGGTCGAACGCAGCAAGCCATACATGCTTGAATTCCAAGATTATCAGACCGTTGGCTCGAAGGCGTAGGCGCTTGGGATACTTCTTTTGTTCCTTGACTTGGGTTTTGGAGTTTTTTGTTGGGGTTTTTTCTTGCAGGGGCTACATTCCAATCGAGAAGAGCATCCGAAGCCCCTTCCCCCCCCCCCACACCTCCCTTCCTTGTCCGTCTGACCTCAACCCCCAATCCTAAGTCCTAAGTCCTGACCCAAACCGTCAACCCTAAACCCTAAGCTCTATAAACCCCTAAACCCTAAACCCTAAACCCTCTATAAACCATGTAAACTCTAAGCCAGGACTTCGTGGCCACCTTGCAGCGTGCCCTTCAGGGCAGAGGCGAAACAGCTTTTGATTACGGGCTTTTGGGCCCCCGGGGGTTCTTGTGTTTATAGGGGTTCAGGGTTTAGGCTTTAGGCTTATAGAGTTTTGGGTTATAGGGCTTTGGGTTATCGGGTTCCCTTGGGCTTTACAGGGTTTTGGGCGTTTAGGCGGCTTTAGGTGTTTTCTAGGCCGTTTGAGGGCTTTAGAGCTTTGGGCACAAGGGGTTTTAGTTATCCTTGTTTTTTTGGGGGGGATTCGGGTTTGTACTTTTAGGGGGGGTTTAGGGCTTTAGGCGTCAGTCCTAAACCCTCACCCTAAACCCAAACCCGTTATCGAACATACGGGGCCCCCATCCTTAAAAGGATGAGCAGCCTTGATCGTTGAAGCCCCAATTGGAGGCCTTGCTAACCCGTAAATGTCTCACGTCTGCAGAATGTAGATCCCTGAGCACGGAAGCCCTGAACCCTAAACCCTATAAGCCCAAACTCCATATCCTTGTGATGATATAAGCCTAAACCGTAAACCCTAAGCCCTAGACCCCGAACCCCGAACCCCGAACCCTCTACCATCGCCCTACCAGACTGCCAGACTTAAAAGTGCTTCGCCGGATTCCTGGGCTCCCTGTCCGCCATTCGCAGGCCTAGCCTTGAAACTTATATTTAGGGTTTAGGGTTCAGGGTTTAGGGTTTAGGGTTTAGGGTTTAGTGTTTTAGGGTTTAGGGTTTAGGGTTTAGGGGAAAGCCAGCCTTCGCCTTGGACCCCCTTGAGCCTGAAACCCTAAAACCCCTAAAGCCTTAAGCCCCCTTAACCAACCCCGTAAACCTAGTAAACGCACCCAACTGCAAGGCCTCAACGCTAGAAGCTGGGTTTTGGGACCGAACACCCTGTTAAGCACGAATGCTTAAATCCTACCACGAAGCCCTATGGCCCCTAAGCCCCCAAATTTCTGGTAACCCCGAAGAACCTCACAATCCCAACAAATTCCCTAAACCTAAGGCTCTAGAACCCTATAAGCCCTGAAAATCGTAAACTGCAAACACCTCCCCTTTTGTCCCTTCATCAAGCCCTACTTCGACCCCAGTTGAGCCCCCCAAACCCAAAGCCCTGAGCCCCTAAACCGCCCTAAACCCTAAACCCTAAACCCTAAACCCTAAACCCTAAACCCTAAACCCTAAACCCTAAACCCTAAACCCTAAACCCTAAACCCTAAACCCTAAACTCTAAACCCTAAAACCCCCCACCCTCCCCAGGTGTTGCGCAGGCCCCCATTCGGTGGACGGCGCCGAGTCCCGATCGGGTCGGAGACCTGAGACGAGCGACGCCGGGGGTTCGAAGGGGTGGTCGATTGTTTTATGATGATGATGATGATGATGATGATGATGATGATGATGATGATGATTCTTGTTATTGTTTTACGATTATTACTATGATTATGATGATTGTTATTATATATTTTTTCAAGGGCGGGGGGGATGGGGTTATCAGAAGCTTTTGCTGTTTCATCGAGCTTGTGGTCGGGTTTTTACGGAGCTCTATGGGTGGTTCCATTATGGGGGGGTTTCAGGGCCTGAGGGACTGCTAGGGTTTTGGGGCGTTGGGAGTTGAATGGGTTGTATGGTTTTCTGGGTGTGGGGGTTTGGCTCGATGCTTCACAAAAGGTTTTGTCGTGTGGCGGCTAGGGGTGAAGTGTTCTGGGGCTTCGCGTGTAAGTGTAAGAGCGCCAAAGAGTTTAGGGGCTTCGGTCTTTTGAGGTTGATCGGGTCGTGGGTGTGGGTTGTTTTTTTTGAGCATTGCGTGTCTTCTTCTATTTCACTTTTCGGTCTTTCGGGTGTTCTTGGTACGAGGGAGAATTGTCAGGATCCCGTAAATCACCTTACAGGTACTAAGCGCATCGACCGGAGTTTCCATTGCGGTGGCATTTTTTTAACACAACCTTTGGTGTTCAAACGTTTCACTTCAACTGAGGAGAGAATGGGGTCCAACATTTGTACGGAGCAAGGCAAGTTTGTCGAGCTTCCGCCTCTCTGAAGGAAGCATTGAAGTCCATCACTTAGCCCGGTTTGAATGGCTTTTCTGTCGAACATGAAGCACATGCAACCCTACGAACATGTTATAGGTTGCCTCGCAAAGTACCATGGGAAGTTGGGCATCCAGGTAGCCTTCACCGACTTGGACTTACCTCCCTTGGCTCAAGGATTGCGTCGAACAGGGCCTCGTGAACTTGAGGTCAACGGGGGTAAGAGTAGAATGGCCCGAGCAAGTGCCTCATACCGTGGCCTTGGGGTTCGGTCACTGTAGGTCTGTAGGCATGCTTCATAGGCTTTTCCTGCGTGCCTACAGGATGAGTATGTTTTGCGGCTTGCGTGCTACGCAAGGTGCACCTCCCCACGCACATGATACCCAGACACATAAGCACCTGTGCAAGGCCCCCCAACCGGGAATCAAACTCCACGTCTGCCCTTGGCGGAGTCCAGCGCCGATAAAGGCCATCCTTAAAGTCTAGGGTCTAGTATATATGTAGACCAGGTAAAAAAGTCGGTCAACTGCCACTTGGGCTTCGCAAGCCATGCCGGCGCCCCTCCGCGCAAACATGCCCAAGTCGCCTCAGTCGCCTCTGGGCAGGAAGGTGGCGAGCCCGGGACCCCCTAGGTTGCCCTATGCCCTCAAACCGACAGCCTCCTTTGCTCCGAGCCGATGCCCCAACCACCACTTCCTAGGGATGTCGCTCTGCAATTTTTCTGCCGGGGTGAGGCTCTCAAATGTTTTCTTGGAGTTCTGGAATCGAAGCATGTCTTAACATGCTGGTGGACGTGCTTGAAAAACCAGGGGCACACCATGTGCCAGGGGCTCGCCGTAAACCCTAAAGGAGGATGCATCTTTTTGGATGATTCCGACAAAGTCGACAGTGAGTGAATATCCAGGCTGGGGGTTAACGGCCTCTATAGAATGCCAACTGGCACCAGCAGCCAGTTGCTGTCGGCTTGGCTTGTGAGTGTTCAGGATGTCAACCCCCATACATATGCTCAACCCTAAAGCCCTTCAAGCTTCAACTACAGGTTAGGCTTCTCTTCTTACTGGTTCTTTGTAGGAAATGAGGGAGTTAGGGACCTTAAAGAATCCCTTAAATGGTCTGATAGAAGGGGGATATGCATATCAGACGAACTGCCAGAAGCGATGAAGTCGCACGACTCTCCCTGAGCCTACAGCCCCAACCCTTTACATCCTAACCCCTTAGGGTTTAGGGTTTAGGGTTTGGGGTTTAGGGTTTGGGGTTTAAACCCCCAACCCCCAATCGCTAAACTTCTCTAGGAGTCCACAAGTTGGGTGACCGGAGGTCTTACCAAAAACCTCCTTCTGTGGCCACAGGTGTCCCCTGACACGGCCCTTTATGACACAGCACCTGGGCCATTGAACTTAGGGTTTGAAGGTTTAGGGTTTCAGGTTTACGGGCTTAACCCTACAGAGCCTATCACCCGAAACCCTTCATCCTTGATCGAATAGAGGGCTTCTGGGCTTGAGGTTTATAACCTCTACACCTGCCCACACTGCAGGTTTTATGAGGGGTCTTTGTCTGATTGGGCTTACACTCCTGCACCGTCAACCCACTAAACCCACGAAACCTTCAGCCCCGAACACCTGACATGTTCAACCCTACTCCCTAAACCCTAAACCCGACACCCAAAACTCATCTTCAAGCCTCAATCCCAGAGCCCGACATCTTCCCTAGCTCAAGGGCCTTCAACCATGGCCATCAACCCCCACAGTGATTTTAGAGGGCCGAATTCAGAGAACTGCTCTCATCCTTCAGCCACGCAACTTGCGCCTCGGAGCCTAACTCCTCAACCTCCGGCCCTGCTTCCTGGACCCTCAGCCCTTTGCTTCGGATTTGCATGTGTGGGTTTCGGATTTAGTTTCAACTCTAGGGTTTTGGGGTTTAGTTTCCGGTTGTCCCCTGTTCACCTGCCGCCTTCTGACCGAGACCCTTCATCGCAGTTCTTTTTACTTTTTTGGTTCGGGGCGGGTATAATTACTGGCAATGGTTAGGCGCGGAAAGCTGTATCCCAGAAATGAACTGCAATTGAGGGCCCAGGTGAACCTGCAACTCGAAACCGGTTTCCATTTCTATGGTGGTCTAGGGTTTAGGGTTGAAGGGTTTAAGTTTAGGGTTTCAGGGTTTAGGGCTAAAGGTTATTTACGGTACTGTCCCACAGGGACCCGGCAAGGCATCATCATTTCGAGAACTGGCCGTGTTTAGCGACCCTATGGAACCGGAAGCCCCTCAACCCCAATCCCTAATCCCTAAACCCTAAACCCTAAACCCCCTTGAATTTCTTACAGTCCGGAGCTTTGGTTGCCTGTATCGTAGGTCCTTGGAGGTTAAAGGGCCCCTAAGCCCGAAATGAAACCGAAACAAAACCCTTACGCCCTAAAAACCCTAGGCCCTATACCCTAAACGCTAAACCCTATACCCTAAACCCTAAAACCTAAACCCTAAACCCTAAACCCTAAACCCGAAAAAAACCTTAAAAGCCCTAACAGGCTACGAAGATCCAACCGCCTCCCAGCAGCAGTGCCCCGACTCCTCCGGCCGTTGAGGCCGATGTGTAAGGGCTCGGTTTAGGGTTCAGGGTTTAGGGTTTAGGGTTTAGGGTTTAGGGTTTAGGGTTTAGGGTTTAGGGTTTAGGGTTTAGGGTTCCGGTTTTCGGGTTGAGAGCTTGGTCTTGAGGGTTTGTAGTATGTGGTTTAGGGTTTGGGGTCGAGGGCTTGTAGTTTAGGGTTTGGGCTTGAGGGTTTGGAGTTTCTAAGCCCGGGTTGATCGACTTGTTAGTATTCCTAACGCTTCCAGCCACCTAAAAACCATGGCGCTTCCGTAAAGACCTGAATTTTTCAGGAGTTTCGAAAATCGATCGCAAATCACTTCACTTTACCCCAACACAAGCTGTCTCAAATCAAAGCTATGGACTTCCGAACAACCGGAATGGGGTCCATCCAGTTTCAAGCCGAATCGGCCCGAACAACCCAGATTTACATCCCATCCCGTTGTCAGGCCCAGAGCCCGAGCCACCTGAATTCGGCACAGTCCTTACGATGGTGTTCTAGACTCCCGCGGCATCTACTCACGATCTCTCACGGTTTTCTCACGGGCAAATCTGCGTGGCTCAAGAAATCACCTCTAGGTGGCTGCCAGGGCCGACCCTTACTCACGCCTGCTCATGTTTTGCTCATGCTCTTAGGGTTGTTTTGCAGACTCCCTAGATTTTTTGGGTGGTTCGTCGGGCAAAACGGTGTCGCTGCCACACGAAGCATTCACAGACAATGTCGGGTCAAACTGTGTCGCTGCAATAAGACTTCGAGACAATTTGTGGGGTAAAATTGTGGCGCTGCGACAAACAAGCATTCATTTTGTTTCGCAAATTGGGGCGCTCGGGGGTAAATTTGTGTGGTTCGCAGCCGCGCAGAAAACAATGTCGCAGATGCATAGGGATTCAGGGTTCAGGGTTTTTGTGGGTTAATAGGGTTTGTACTGCTGATGGGGTTGATTCGACTTTATAGGATGCAGTGTTCTTTGTTGGGCGGGGGGGTGGGGGGGGGGGGAGGGGGTTGGGTTGAGGAGTGTTGAGGCTTGCTCGGGCTGCTTTGACGATCAGGGTTCTTAGGGTTTAGGGATTAGGTTTACACCAACATTTGTCATGTAGAACCCGGAACTTTGAAACCCGTCCCACTCCCTTTTGGTTTCACCGGCCGGGGCATCCGCATTGAAGCATCGCGAGATGCCGTGATGATCCAGAATCCGCAAGTGCGCTCTGCATTCAAAGGCCAGGGTGGACAACGAATCTTTACATTGGAGGGGGAATGCTACTGCACCCTGCATGCCGTGAGGATCTGCGCCCCGCCCCCCTCCCCCACCACCATATTCTTTGAGAGCCCGAAAGCCCAAAACCCCTAAACCCGTTAAGATCATCTTGGAGCTTGGGGCCGTCCTCAGACCCGTCGCCTGAAGAAAATAGCGGAGTTTCAAGGGTTTTGAGGGTTTTCGGCTGGACCCTAAACCCTAAACCCCAAACCCTAAACCCTAAACCCTAAACCCCAGACCCTAGACCCCAGACCCTAAACCCCAAACCCTCAATCCCTGACCGGGCGAGGCTGCTGCCGGGATCCGGGCGGACCTAGCAGCCCATCAGCCCCTTTGTTTCGACCACTGGAAAGGTTTTTTTTTTTTTTTTTTTGGTTCTTGGTTTTTTTGGTGTTTTTGGGTTTTGGTGTTTAGGGGCTGTAGGGGCTTTAGGAGCTTTAGGC